TATTAATTAATAATTCATGTAAATAATATCTATATGTCTAATCATAATTATCTAATCATAGTAACGATTGGACATTGTAGGCATTATATGAAAATCATTGAAAATGTCATCTTCTAATTGGAGAAGGATTAAAAACATAATAAAAAAACATAAAAATAAATAAAAATTTAAAGATTTATGTTTTTGTTAAAAATAATTTATCTAAATTTAAGTATGTAATTAAATTTTATTATTATAATTAAAGTTTGTTTGTATTTTTAGAATTATAATAGACAAAACACCTGCTGACGAGAAATGGAAAGGTTTAGAATACAAGAAAGTATTGTATACAAGTGCAAATAAAGAAAGTTCTCTCTTTAAACCAATAGACTAGTTCAATCACTCTTTTTCATCCAGATNAGCATGTTAATAATCATGATATTTATATACAACAGCAGGGGAAATAAGAGAAGAAGAAAAACTAGTTAATTTTATAACAAGGGTTAAATATTAAAGAAGTAATAAAGGAAAGAAAAGTCCTTAAAGAAACAGATAAGTGAACAAGAAGTTAGAAAAGATATTATTTATATTAATTAATAATTCATGTAAATAATATCTATATGTCTAATCATAATTATCTAATCATAGTAACGATTGGACATTGTAGGCATTATATGAAAATCATTGAAAATGTCATCTTCTAATTGGAGAAGGATTAAAAACATAATAAAAAAACATAAAAATAAATAAAAATTTAAAGATTTATGTTTTTGTTAAAAATAATTTATCTAAATTTAAGTATGTAATTAAATTTTATTATTATAATTAAAGTTTGTTTGTATTTTTAGAATTATAATAGACAAAACACCTGCTGACGAGAAATGGAAAGGTTTAGAATACAAGAAAGTATTGTATACAAGTGCAAATAAAGAAAGTTCTCTCTTTAAACCAATAGACTAGTTCAATCACTCTTTTTCATCCAGATGTTACACCAGTGTAATAAGACCTATTAATAGATTATAGTCACAGTAAACTAATATTAGTAAAAAAAAAAAAAACTAGTAAGATACTGGTTATGATATAAATTGGTAGTGCATTTATTATATTCAAAGAGTGGCTTTTCAGAAAGTTTACCAAAAATCAATCCCTAGATGAAAAATTTTGAGAAAAAAAAACTTAAATCTTATAAAATAGACTAACTAAAAGCATGTAAATAGACTAACTAAAAGCATTTACCTAACAAAAATTAATTTATTATTATTATTTTAACAGAATGTTTTATAAGAACAATCAAATTATAAAATAAAATGTTAAAAATAACTAATTGATTCAGTACAGTTGATATTAAATTACAATATAATTTATAAACAATTTTAAAGATTACTATATGGACAAAAGATAAGATATAACAAGATTAGATGCATTTACACACAATAAATCCAATTATAGTTTATTTTTATGCAACAGTATTATAACTAAAAATATCTAATACTAATTTATGTTAAGCATTTTTTAAAAATCAGTTATTAATGTCTTCAACTGCCATCTGTAATTCATCAGATTTGCAGATAGTTTCATATACATTGGCTGGGCAATGTCAGTACTCAGTTGGGGCTTTTGAATTTTTTAAAAGTTTAGGAGTCCTTTTTTCATAACATACAGTGAGTGACCTTGTCAAAGATTTGTTAATAAACCTTCCCTCCACCAAGTAAATAGACTGCTCCCTGTTACTACACATTTTTACAGCTTGGCCAATATTCATAAAATAAACTGTATCATATTAAGATCTTTTGGTTCTTCCTAAAGATCATGACAATTAGAAAATCAGTACTATAAAGGCCATTCAAAATGCCACAGCAAAACAATTCTAGATGATTATAAACAATGGATTTTTAATAATACTTTCTCCAGCAACAACAGCATTGTAATAAGTGAAAACAAAAGAAGGTATCTAAAAAGAATTTGTAATACAGTTAATAACTCTCTCATAATATGTACAAATTAGCCACAAAATCCCAATGCATAACTGTGCCTTAGGTCTCCCAGTTAGATAATATCTAAACAATAAATTCACTGATCAATGTATTGGATATGAATCTGATACAGTATGACATCCTTGGAATTTAGACTCAAAATACAGTAATTTGCATTGGGATATTGTGAAATTCTCAATTCTGTCTTACGACAGATGAAGACTAAAAACAATTATCGGGGATTTGCTTTATTGTATTAACTTCCAATTATCAGCAGAACGTGGGAGATAATGATGTTCAGAAGAACGTGGGAGAAAATTATAATGTATGAAGGATGATAGGGATAGCTTAAAGGTAGCTTGTAAATAACACATGGGAATTTGTAACCATTTTGTACAGTTACTATAATTTTTAATCAGAACTCAAAAATGTACAATAGTGCATAAAGAATTCAGCTGGATTAGTTAAATGTATCTTTGGGAAGCTTAAATAATGCTAACATTTTCAATCAAGTTAACAAGCCATCTTCAGGCATGGACAATTAAAAGTGAAATATCAGTATTGGATGGAAGATGGGATAGTCTTTGGTAAAGTAAACAATTGGAATCTATACCTCTTCCTTTCAACACTAAATTCCACTTTCAATTGTCCATACCCAAAAATGGCTTGTTAACTAGATTGAAAATATGAATCTTTGAGCACTGTTTTTGGCTCTATGGAGGACTTATCACACACTACTGACATCAGAGTAATCTCACAGAAATGGGTAGATTTATTTACAGGTTTATTATGACAATGATTACTCCGACAACATCAATAGTGTGTGATAAGTCTTCCTTAGAGCTAAAAACTTAATGCTCAAAGATTCATATTGTAACTTAAGGACAAAAAGCAAACATTTTCAAACCAATGGATTGAAAATGTTAAAATTATTTAAACTTCACCTATTGTTAAAAGTGCATTGATTAATTGATTAATTCAAATGAGCATCCACAGTGGCAAGTTCTTCCTTATCTTATGGGATCCATTATAAAATTTATTTTTATTTGTTCTCTCAATAAAATGTATATATGTAATTTAATATTTTACATTATTTTTAAATAATTCATTATAATATCTACACTAATATTATAAAGAGGTAAAGTTTGTAAGTTTGGATATAAGAGGTAATCTCAAAACTACTCATCTGATTTCAAAAATTCTTTCACCAATATTTAGAATGGACCTTCAGAGTGGATATAGGCTGTATATTATTCCGTTAAACATTCATATAAATTAAAAGATCTAGGTAAGCATTACATTTTTGGTGTCAGTGGGTGGCGAGGGGCAGACATGTACATATACAAGATAGGTAACCATGTGGCGCAGTTGTGTGGTAGGCGAGATATGCAGTGCATGTGTCCAAACTTGTATAACTATAAAGGTTATCTTATGTAAGAGTTTATCACACCAAATGATCAATCTAACACATTTTGAAAATTCTTTATTCCTGTACTGTACACAATTTAAATAATTTTTAAATGTGTTAGATTGGGCACACAGTGTGATAAAATCTTATGTAAGATAACCTTAATAAATATAAGTCAAATACTATAATATAAATTAGTAGAAATGTTAGAAGTATGAAACTATCTAATAATCTTAATATTTGCTGTTGTTATTTTTTGCCAGAGCAACACCAGGCTCATCTGCTAGTTTATAAATAATTAGCAATGAGTAGCATAACTTTCCCAGCAAGAGCTAAAATTTTATGTAGTGCCATCTGCTACAAGATCCAGCTTAACAATTGCTATTCATTAGATAATGGTACAATAAACATAGCTTAAATAACCTTTACAGTTCCCAAATAAAAACTTAATTTTGAAAAAATATATTATTGATAACATTTTTGATCAGGTCATCAGTATATTTTTTCAAATTTAAAGTTTCATTCTGGTTCATATATATAAGTATCTGTTATGAGATTTTATTAAAAATTTTTATATTATTAATTACTATAAAATGACAAAAAGCTTAATTTTAAGAGTAGAGACGAGTTTTATAAAAAAAACTGTAAACTGTAATAATGAGTAAAATCTTCATTTTAAGTTTGACCCCACTTGAAATATGACACAGCTGTCCTTTGTCTCCCATCCTCTCAACTTTTAACCACCAAAATATAATAGCATCAATATATTAATACACAAACCTCCCTGTAAAATTTCAGAAATTTTTGACAAAAGGCACAAGAGTTAAGCTTTAAAGGGGGGTGAAAAAATTGTGCCTCCCTACACACACACACACAGACATTAGGGTTGCCAACCTTCTGTCAAAAAAAACCCTGAAATTTCCACTAAATAGCTTTGTTTTGGTTGCAATGCATATTGAAAAAATATTAGTCTTTTGACAAACCAGAGAAACAAATTTTTACTTTGGTGCACAGGAAGCACACGCACAGTCAAACAAAAGCACAATATGATGAAGCAATCTGCTCCAGATCTCACTGCAATATTCTCACACGAGAGCAGTCTCAAGTTGTGCGACTTTCGGAAGCTCCCACTCGTTGCCAAACTCTAATAACCAATACGGGCAGACTTTAATTTTTTCCCTAAACTATTTCTCCCATCCTGCTGATTTTCCCTGTAAATTTAGGAAAAAACCTCTAAGTTGGCATCACCATACATGCATACCAACAACTTTTTCTTGCACTTCTTGACATTTTAAGGTGTTTTTAAGTCGAAACTGTAAAAACTTTTTGACACATTGCCATACTTTCTCTCTGTTATATATAACAGCCAGGAAAGTAAAAGCAATCTTATAATAATATTTATGTATGGTGTTTCATAATTGTTTAAATGTACACAGAACACAGAATGATCATTTTATTTTGATATGTTGTCATTGAAAGTCTGTAAGTCATAATTTAAATCTAATTAAAGATCCCATAGTTTCATATTTGATACACATTACATGAATATATTAAAGTATAGATCTTTTATATACGTATATAACTTTATTATTTGTAATTTTAATAAAGAATATTAACGATTTAAATTAAAGCATAATCACCTTTTCTGCATTTTATCACTTAATAAAATCTAGAAACTAAATTACAGTAAAATAAACAAATCGTCAATCGATCAGCAGACGATACTTGACAATCACGTGACTTAAAAATATTTCATTAATAAATAAATTATTTATAATTTATGAAATAATTATTATTATTTTAAAATATTAAAAAATACATAAATAACGTAGAGAATTAATAATAGAATATAATCATGAGTTTTTTTTAGGAAAAATAAAACAAATTTAAATACGTCGAATAAAAATAATATTTTAAAGTAAAAACTCTTAAACTCTTTATAAATTTTAATTATAGTTTTATTAATTTTAAAATATATTAAAATTTTGGGCCTTTTTTTGTTTTTGTAAATCGACATTACGTCATACGCTACATCGAAAATTTATTTTATTTTTTAATTTCAATTTTGAACATGTATTATTATTTATAACCTTAATAGTTTTATTAATATATTACAAAATAATTATTATAATCGATTTAGTTCATCTTCTGCTAAAATTTTAAGACGACGTCAGATATCGTCTGGAGATAGGGAGAAATGGACACGCGGAGCGATGTTCGCCTTGTAACTTTATAAATAATATGAAAGAAGCGAAAGAATTAGTAAATAAGAAATCAATTGAAATATGTTAAATCAAAATATTCATTTATGAATTTTAAATTAGTAAGTTACGGTTCTTAAATTAGTTTTATTTAAATAATTACAAAGTTAAACGATATTTGTTATGACGTAACTTAATTACAATTAATTCAAATAATTCTGATCAAATATTTAATTTAGATGAGTCGAGTTCTTATTTAAAAAATTAAATTAAATTTATTAAGTATTAAAATACCAAATAAATATAAAATTTTATTTATGATGTTTATAATGTAATTTCTAAGTTGTGAAGTTAATTGTTGTTAAAGTTTAACTTTAATTTAATTAAAATACATTTATTCTGTATAAAGACTAAATTAATGGAATTTATAGCTGATACACTTTAAATGTGCAATTGTTTGCTACAAAAACCTTGAAAATACTTGAAATTAGATCTTGTTTGAGTAGGGAATAAAAACTTAATTATAATAATCTATATATGGCAACTAATTAAAATTAACTGTTGAAACTTCATTTTGACAGTTAATTTTTTACTGTTGCATTTTCACTTGTCGCGAATTAAATATTTGGATTGCAATTTTTGGATTGAGTCCGGATATTTAATTGGGCTGATGAAGGACAGATGGTCTGCCATCTGTCTGCCCTTCGTTAATCTTGAAAATGGAATTAGATAGATGAAAATGAGACCGGATACGGAAAGCTTGGGTCAGAATCACCAATCAACTATATATGAACTTCTGGTATGAACTGGAAGTTGTGTGATTTTTTAAATTAAAATATGATTAAAAATTGCAGCCTGGCATCATGATGATGATTATGTTTTATCTTTGGTTCAAGATATGTTCTGCTTACAGAAAAAGTTCTTTTTGTTTATTCTAGAAGATTAGTCAAGTGTTGTTATTCAAAATACTTAAGTAGTATTTTGAATAACAACACTGCCCCTCTTATTCGGTTTTTGTATTCATGTCATTCTCAAGTGTGCATATTCTAGATTGGTTATCTGAAATTATATGGATACAGGAGAGAAGAGAATATAAACTAGAAGGAATTTTTAAATTTCCTCTAGTAGTTTTTAAGTTAACTTAAAACTTTTAGATTTTCATCCACTTCATATAGCTAGTGAGTAAAAAAATTTAATTTGAAAGTCTTCAGTTTTTCATAAAACTCATACATGTAATTTGAACGTTGAATGCTTATATGAATGACTAGCAACTGTAGAAGAATGCAGACTCTAATTGTTTTGCTCAAGCAGAAGTCACATAGTTGGAAAGTTTGACATTTTTCTACTGGTTTTTCAGATAAATAGTATATCAAAATGACTGAAAATATGTTATTAATATTTTTATTACTTTTCTGTAAGATTTTCTTTATTTTTATTATTGATTGTGGTGAGATGTTGCACAATAACACTATAAAAATGTCAATAAAAAAACGCTAATTATATTTTGTTCTATAAATATTAGCGAGGTTGAGACCGAAGTTTTAAACGCAAAAATGTGTACATCGGATGTTCAGCACTGTTTTCCTGTAAGTCTAGAAGTTTGACAATGGTGTTTGGAATGTTGAACATGATTCCACTGGCTATCCAAACACCATTGTCAAACTTCTAGGCTTACAGGAGAATGGCACTGAACATCTGACATACATGTTATCGCATTTAAAACTTCGGCCTTAACCTTGCTATTCCTATGGTAATTGCAAAGTATAGTGTTTAACAAAATCATCTATGCAGTCAGTGAAATAAGCAGATTATTCAGTTGGAAAATATTTTGATTTCTAATCATCATTAAACTACTATTCATTTAGAATAATCCATTATTTGTTGTTATTAATGCAAACTTCCAAATATCACTTTGCTTGTTAACACAACTTCATATTACCCATACAGTTTGTGAAGAATAGCAGTACTCATTGTTGGTTTTTATTTTTAGATTTAAATAGCATGTTGTTATATTTTTATCAATCAGAACTTAAAAAGACTTTTTGCAGTAATGATTGTTTTTTAGTTAGTTAAACAATTCAAAATTAAATATCATTTATTATTAATTAATTAGAAAATACTATTAACATTAATAATTTATATCTAAAATATTGATTAGTTTTCTGGTTACTAATTTGTGTGTTAAAAGTAAATTAAAAATGGATGTATAACAACAACTCGTAACCCAATTTAATTAACACCAAATGATCGGCTGAATTATGGGACTATTTTTTTCACCCAGCCTAGAAATTGCCTGATAATTAGGCTGATTGTTTGGCATTAATAAATTAATTAATGATTAAATTTAAACTTATTTAAATGACTTAATTTTAGGAAATTATTTTAACATAGATAAACAAGTAAATTTTTCCTATAACTGATATTAAAATTTATTTTAATATCAGTTATAGGAATTGTAAATGTACTTTCATTCAGAACAAAATTATAACATAAATTTTAAATATATTCGGAAATGTACAGTACATATGATCTAAAATTTTAAGACGACGTCAGATATCGTCTGGAGATAGGGAGAAATGGACACGCGGAGCGATGTTCGCCTTGTAACTTTATAAATAATATGAAAGAAGCGAAAGAATTAGTAAATAAGAAATCAATTGAAATATGTTAAATCAAAATATTCATTTATGAATTTTAAATTAGTAAGTTACGGTTCTTAAATTAGTTTTATTTAAATAATTACAAAGTTAAACGATATTTGTTNATATTATCTATATATATAATTGAGATGGGTTAATAATAACAATAATCAGCACAGAGCCTAAACTGTTAGGAGTTGAAATTTGGTACACAGTTAGGGTGCATTATGAGAATGTACTGTACACTAAGAAGGGATTTTTTGAAATTCCCCCTGTGGGGGAGAGGGAAAGATTAAGGCTTATCCTAAAGAACTCTGCTTCTATTATACTATTTTAGATGCAGTTTTTTTGCGTTTTTGATTTGCGTTTTAATAGGGTACCTCACGATAATGTACACTAAGAAGGGATTTTTCAAAATTCCCTGCAGGGGAGAGGTTGTTAACAATGGAAGTTTTAAGAGAAAGCGATGTGCAAGATTTACAGGCACAGATGCAATTTTTTGTTTTTTTTTTTTCATTTTTGCGGGAAATCAAACATTTTTAGACCCATCTAAAAATTTTCTAATTAGATCCCCCTGTTTCCAGACTAATTCTTGCATTCTGTGAAAACAGGTAAGATTGGCTATAATGTAATCATCTTAATCTTTGCTATCGTTACTTTTTGCCCAAGCAACGCCGGGCTTATCTGCTAGTTTAATAATAATAATAATACAGTAAAGCATCGATTATCCGAATCAATTGAGGAATAGAGTTGTTTGGAAAATCAATTTTTCAGATAACCAATTATGTACGAAAAAATATATTAACCTATCCCATGTTAAAATTTGTTCAAATCCTGGCACGTCCTTAAGTACCCTCTCGTGGTCGCACCAGTGCTGCCAGCTAAAACATGCACACCAACAAAAATAATACTAGAGTAGCCCAAGACATAGCAAAGATTGCAGCACCACAGCACTAGCAGAAATTTAAATTTGCCAAGTGGAAAGTTTTTGGTTAATTGATGTTTCGGTTGATCGATATTCAGATAATCGATGCTCTACTGTACTTAGTTATCACAGAACTAAGTCAATGTACAAATAAAATGGGGGAAACCTATTTTTTAAAAATAGTATATCATATGTATTTCCAGATGTCAAAAACAATCTAAAACAAGATAAAAATATAAACTGTCTGCAGTTCGATTCAAAAGACAAGTGTTACTGTTTACATATAATGAATTATGTAAATTTTGTGTCAGAATTCATATGAAAATTTATGTAAACTATTGTATATATTTTCCTCAAAACTTCTAATAATTACATTTATAATAAATTTTCTAATTCATTTTAAATTTATTTCATTCATGTTTTTGTTTCTAATATTAGTAAAAGTACTAAAGTATTAATATTTTGCTTTAAAATTAAATGAAATATTAAAGTTTCTTTTAAATAAAAATTACTAAATCTTTTTTTTTTTTTTTAATTCAATCTTATATTAAATTATATAGTAAATGTTCATTTTCCCTTTTTGATGATCTTTATTTCTTAGTTTATTTTTCAGATTTAAATTTATTTATATATATATAAATTTTAAAAATAAATTATTTTCAAAGGAAATATTTTTTAATAGTGTGTGAATATTATACATAATATAATGTAATTCTCTCTTTTAAAAATTTTTTGTTACTAAATTATAATCTATTAATGACATTAATAATGAATAATTAAACTTTTAAAATCATCATTAAATCTATTTTAAAATGAGAAAATTTAAAAGTTAATTTTAGTAAAGTATTTTTTACTATTTATTTAAAAAAATATAAACTTGTCTTTTATTCCTTAATTTTCTATAACTTATTTGAAATGTTATGTCAGCAAAACAATACCCAACATTTGAAATTTATCAAGCATGTAAAAATGATGGTCTAAATTCTTAGATTTGTAAAAATCATAGTGTTTGAACAGCATCAAACTTATCAAGTTCCATTCTGTTTTCTGGATTTAGTAATTATGTAGAAATCCAAGGCCAAATTATACTAATAGTTAATCCAGCTCTATCATTTGATTAACAGGCTAGAACTTGACTAATTAATGGCAGCATAACTACCTGCCTTTTACTCATATAATTAATTAGCCTGCATAATTTAAAGTTCTGGTCTGAATCTGGAAAAATCCAGGGAAGCTCAATTAAATGAATTTGACTTTCTCAGTATTGTTTGAAATCTTAAATAGCAAATTAATGAATGAAGTTAATAAATTTTGTCTAACTTAATGTTTTTGACATTAATTATGAATTATTGATCAACTTTATATTTTATTTAAAAAAAAAACCATTTAATAATTAGTAAATTTCACAGAAAGATGATTTCTCTGTATATTTTTTTTGTTTCAAAAATTGATCTGCTTATTCAGTATGTAGTAGCATCTTGCCAGTAATGAATGTTATCTGTGAATTCATGCATTCACAATTGATTTTTCTGAATATACATTTTACCAGAAGAAGAAAAAGACATTTTACCAGTCACAGATCAGACATAAATTCAGGAATTAATGTAATAATTCCTGACTTTATGTCAAAAACTGTTCCAGATTTATCTAATAGCATTATTTTCCAAACTCATTTGTAGACAATCCACAAAATGTAAGGTCCAATAAATGTAGGGATCTACTGTAGTAATATGTTACCAGTCATTTATATTTAGAGATTTGAGTAACCTGAATTGTGAAGTAATTTTTCTTCAATTTCTATATTTGTTAATACAAAAATGACAAAATAACTACATTATCTGTTTCTATGAATGTTCACATATAGCAACCAAAATTTTCATGATTCCTTATTGTGAAAAAGCATAATATAGAAAATCAAAGAAGAAAAATATTTCTGCCATAACTAAGAAAGGAACATTCAACAGATCAATAGATATTTGATTGATACACTTGTTTTTAAGAACTGAAAATTAACAATAATGTAATTTCATTTCATTTGCAACTAATTCTTACTGATAGCCCCAATACACCATCACAGTACCTTGATCCAGTCCAGTACCAGGTTACTTCTCTAGAAAAACTAATGTTTTTGATCTAAGGTCTTTGTCAGGTATATTGATTCAAAAACTTTGTACTGCTCTTATTGATAGACAAGTTACCTTCTGTGAATTTGATAATTGTCAATATAACCAATAGTTAATGTTGTCAATTATGAATTTCTACAAGATAATCTACTGATAAGTATTTAAAGTTATTTATCAGATGATTATTTGCAATAATAAACAATATGCTTAGAAAGAACTTAAACATTATTTTGTGGTAGTGATGTCCAAATTGTGTTTATGTGATGAAATTTAGTATAAGCACTCAACCTAAATCCAAAATTTATCAATGGAAATCAGAACAATGGAGAATTGTGCCTCCCAAAAATATTTCTTTAGACATGCTGATGAATTAATGGGTGCTGGCCTTTTATGATTGTGGATTCAGATTTCATCATCCGATTTGATTTTAGAAAATTTTGACTCTCCCAAAATATCATGATTATTGTTCTATATGTGAATTTATACAAATAGCTAATATAGTTGATTTACATCAATTTGTATTTGTGAAAAAATGTTTTGTCACATGGTATTTGCAATGGACATTTAATTTGGCAAACTAATTGACTATTATGCAGTTAAATAAAACAAAAAAATGGTGATTTAAAAAACATTAATAATTTATAAATCTAGCTCTGTTTGAAACTGTTCATTTTATCATTTGGATATCTATGGAAACTTTGTTTTTTTTTACATAAATAATGTAAGTCTTATTAGCAATAGTATAAAGTAAGAAAATGTAATTTTAATGAAAAGAAATTTTTTTAGACTAGAAGAATTTTATTTTGTTGTCTTTTTTTAAATAACAAGAGCCCAAGAAAATTCTAAAATGGATTAAAGTGTAATCTTATTGAAAGTTGGTTTTTCCTTCCACTGAGAATAAGTCAAGATCAATGATTATCTATTGGAATCTTAAAGAAAATTATGATCTACTGTAATTTAAAGCATTCCATTTCAACACAAAATATTTAGGGGTAAAAAGTAATCAGTGTATTTAAGCCATCTTGTGCCTTTGGCAATTTCCCCAAATTTTATTTTAACCAGAATACAGCCAAAAAAAAAGTAAGAAAGTGCACTTTTTTTTTTATCAGGAAAAAAGACGTGTTTAAAGCAATCATTTACCATTAAAATATTCAACATAAATACAAGGCGTGCCCAGAAAGTAAGTACTGTTTTGGAAAAACTCGCATAAAAAATCTTTTTTCAAAACAAAATTTATTTTTATATGAAAGAGCATGTCGGAAACTATTTTTCTACATAGTTACCACCATTGTTCAGACATTTGTCATATCAGGAAACCAACTTGTCTATACCCTCTTCAAAGAAAGATGCTGCCAGTGAAGACAGCCACTGCTGAACATTGGTTGTTGCATGTTCATTGCTGGCAAAGCGCCTCCCTCCAAAACCATGCTTCAAGTTCAAGAACAAATGGTAGTCTGCAGGTGTGAGGTCAGGGCTGTATGGCGGATGATTGAACTGCTCCCAACCGAATTGTTGAATAAGGTTTTGAGTGACACCAGCAGTATGGGGACGTGCTTTGTCGTGAAGCAACACAATGCCTTTACTGAGATTTCCATGCCTTTTGTTTGAATTGCACGGCAAAGTTTTCGCAATGCTTCACAGTATCATTCCATATTGATGGTTTCATCTCTGGGAAGGAACTCAACAAGCAGAATGCGCTGTCTATCCAGAACACAGTGCACATGATTTTTTGTGCTGACAACGTTGTTTTGAATTTGTGTCTTGTGGGTGACCATGAGTGCCTCCACTTCATCAACTGTTGTTTTGATTCTGGAGTGACATGACAAACCCAAGTCATCACCAGTAACAATTTTGTTTAGGAAATCATTACCCTCTTCACTGTATCAGGTAAGAAATGTCAAAGCACTTCCAAGTCGCTTCGTTTTGTGGACAGCTGTAAGCATTTTGAGAACCCAGCGGGAACACAATTTGCGATAATTTAAGCGATTTGTGACAATATCATGCAAAACAGTTTTTGAAATTTGTGGAAACTCGTCACAAAGCAATCTTATTGTGAAATGTCTGTTTTCAAGAATTTTCTCATTCACTTTTGCAACCAAACTGTCATTGACAACAGAAGGCTGGCCACTCCGTGCTTCGTCATGAACATCGGTGCATCCAGCATTGAATTGTCGAACCCACTTTCTCACCATTCCATCACTCATTACATTTTCACCATAACTCTCTACAAGTTGACGATGAATTTCAACTGGCTTAACATTCTTTGCGTTCAAAAACTGTATTACAGAATGCACTTCACAGTCGGTGGGATCGGCAATCGTCTTAAACATTTTGAACGCTCACTAACACATGGAAAAACAACACAATCCGGCTCTAATGGCGTCACTGGACTGACTATCAACCAGAGACACATGTGCGCAGGTGCTGAACTGCGATACTACCGCTGCGGTGGCGGTAAAACAAAACAGTACTTACTTTCTGGACACGCCTCGTATATGCAAAAACTGCTTAGCTTTATAATACATAATAATATGTTTAATTAAACAATAACATTTTTATTCTAGGTAGAGGTCACCTATTCTACTATCTAGTCTACTGAAGATTATTTGGAGAATTTAGTATCTATGGGAAATTATAGTTTAACATATAAGACAGGCTTTCCTTCTTTATTTCTTTTTTCTCTAAAATAAAAGTTGTCTCTTACTTATATATCATTATAACAGAAAAATCACTGTATTTTATTTCTCTAAATTTTAGATTATAAACATCAATTTTTTTAAAAATAATGTTAGTTCCTAAAATTAGTGACTTTATTTAAACATTTCAATTTTAAAAAACAGATTGAATCATCTTAGAGATAATCTAATATTGAAACTATTATGTAATTTAGAGAAAAGTTTATATAACAGAATTGCAGTCCAAAATTTTAATCTCCATATTTTCCTATGTGACTCTTCATCATTTATGTAGAAGGTTGTTGATATTCTTTATACTTTATACAAACATAAACTAGCCTTTAAAATTGGATTAATTTATTCATAATTTATATGTTAGTTTCCTTTAGAACAGAATTGTTGTTTATATATTTGTTGGATACATTATTTGATTAAATTTAAAATTTGAAGTGATTTTGTAGAACTAACTTGTTACATTTATAATATCTTTAATAATCTACCATAAGTTATTTTTATATTTTATTCAGTCATTCTTGATCGGTAATGATAGGTGGATATTTTCTGTATATTTTGCAATTCTTCCTATTCCTCAACAAACTTGGAACTATTTTTGTATTGTTCGTATAAAAAAATATGTTTTCCAATTATCCTAATTTTTCTTCATATTACATTTACAGGACTATTTATTACTTTTAATATTTAATCAATTGAATTCAGCTTTTTAAAAAATCAAACATGTAACATTTTCTACAATCTAAATATATAAAATTACTTGTCCTGACTGAGTGATTGACTGATTGATTCATCATCTCCAGAGCAAACTGCTGAACCTAGAGGTGAAAGTAATGAAAATGAACACTAAGAAGGAATTTTTTGAAATTCCCCTGCGGGGGGAGAGGGAAAGGATTAAGGCATAACCTGAAGAACAGCTTCTATTGTATTATTTTAGATGCTTTTTTTTTTCTCCCAGCTACATTTAGTTTTCATTGAGTACTTAGATGTATTAAATTGATAACATTTTGGACATTGTTATAAATATTTTTATATATTTCGATTTTAAACCAAATGTTCGAACTGTTTTAAATTTGAATTTGTTATTGCATATTGGTTTGATTATAGNTTTATGAAAAATAAAATGTTAATAAAGTCTGTCCAATATTTGAAATTTTAAAAACACTGTCATCATTTTTTAAAATGTTTACTTCAAAGGTGTTTTCAAAAATATTAAAACCATTGGTAAAGTGATTTTTTTCTGTCATAATTAAGATGATATGATAGCAAATTCAAATCCTAAAATTGTCTGATATTTTGCAACTAAATTCTGAATTTAGTCAGAAAAAAGTAATATTCATTCAGATAAGATACATGAATTAGATTATCTGAGTTAAAATGGAATGTTAGATTGTGATCTGAATAAAAAGCAACAATCGTCATTTAGTAATTACGAGAATTATCTGATATATAAGAGTATCAATATGCTTTGTGATGTCATTGAAGTTCAATGTCAAAGCTTGTTTTTATTTTTTAGTAATTTAGCATGTGTAAAATTTAAATTTGGCTTTAAGTATCAGTAATTTAAAGAAATATTTATCATATATCAATTCACATTTAATGAAGTACTTTTGTTTTCAATCAATATTAAATTTTTGATTTTAAATAAGAGTAATATTACAGTTATTGAAATAATAAGAGATCACGTTTTGTTTTTTAATATTTTTAAAAATCATGCAATATATATTAAATGTCAAGTTTGTAAACTTAATTATTGTTTTCTGTTTTAAATTTAGAGAGGATTTTTAATTACTACACTGAGAAAACATTTATAAAATGCCATATTAATACTTTAATAATACTTGGATCATTTTTACAGTGTCTATATAGTCTACTTGGTCTTTGTTTATTAATAGGTCGTATTAATAAACAAGGTCCAAATAGACAATATATACACAAATGTAAAACAGTAAGGACATAGGTAAAAAGAATTAATGTTTTCATAAGTTTTACATAATAAATGAGAAAATGTGTTCTCCTTGATTTACAATTATTGATTATTTTATATTATTTTATTACTTAATTTATTTTGGTATGATGATTCTTAGAAAAAAATTGTTTTTAGTTATTGCAGGAAAACTGTTTTAGTTATTTCAGGAAAACTGTTGAAAAATTGTATAATAATAAATTTTATGAAGTAAAACATCGTATTTTTTTGAATAGAGTAATAATACAAAAATGAGCATTATATATCAAATTTTGACACATTGCTTACAAATTGGGAGAACTTAGTTTTTATTTTTCAATTCTTATTTGATAATTTTTCTATTTGAATTTATAAGGAATTTCTGAATAGAAGTAGATTTCTTGTCTTTGTTAAGGAAATGGTAAATGAATGAATTTTTAATTACTAGTTTAATAAACAAATTTCTTTGAAATTTAGAATATTTTTAAATAAAGATATTCTAAAATAGTGTGTGTGTGTATATATATATATATATATATATATATGTTACAGTCAAAACCCGGTTTTAGTTAGAACGCGTTGAAACTAGTTTATACTGAATGTCTTTGTTAAAACCCGTTTTGTGTAGTTGAAACTAGTTTATACTGGATGACTTTGTTAAAACCCGTTTTGTCTAGTTAAAACTAGTTTTAACTCAAATTCATTTTTGACTAGCAGTAAATTCTAGTTTTAACTAGACAAAACGGGTTTTAACAAAGACATTCAGTATAAACTAGTTTCAACTAGACAAAACGGGTTTTAACAAAGACATTCAGTATAAACTAGTTTCAACTAG